CTGGGCCCCAGACCCCCTGCACACCACCAGCCCCACCTGTGGCGAGGCCCAGCCCCAGTCCCGTTCTTGTTTTATGTTCCTGTGCAGCTCTACCCATTAACCCTGTGATTCTCATAATAAACGCCCTCAATTTGCCTAGTTTGAATCAGTTTCAAGGAAAAATAAAACAAAACACCACCAGGTAACCCTGAATCAAAGAGGGGATTTGGGTACAACACAGGGTCACTTCTCCATTAGCCGGGTCCCTAACTTACACACTTGAGTACCACTCCACCTGTGCCTGCCTGCAAACCATGGGGAGCCAAGCACATATTTCCTTTCTTCTAACATGTCTGAGAAAAATCACATAATTATGTGAAATGCCTTGGTGATTTGGGGCCTCTCCTAGGCCCTCACATGTTGCTGGCCAATCCATTTGTTGACCGGCAGCTGACCCCACACTCATGGCTGACAATGGAGGCCTCATTCTCGACAGAGGCCTCATCTCCTGTTCCACATCAATTGGGAAATCAGCAGAAAATCCCCTTCTCCTAAAAAGCCATCTCCACATCTTAGACTACCTCCTCCACCTAATCTGACCTCATCCCACCACATCTTTCCTTTCTTTCTTTGTACCCTACATATACTGCTCCATCTCCTGATCCCTCCACCCCACGTCATCATGTTTAACTTCTTAAAGCATCGGGTGACTGCTCTGCCTACATACATACTGAAATGCTCTTTGCAGTTGGGATGGGACAGTTGTTCTTTGCACATTGAGCATGCCTGGCCCCCACCCACTGTTGCCAGCAGAGCCCCTCCCCAGGGCCCCTCATGCACCAGCTTCTCCACATGTCCATAGGGTCTTCATGTGTGGCCTAATGAGGCAGCTGTGTGGACAAAATAAGCAGCATGTGGCTTTCCTTATGGAGAACACGTGCCAATGTTTCACCTGAACAAAATCATGTGAAACAACCAGAGAAATTCAAAATGTGGGACATTCTACAGGAAAAATGGCCCAGATTCATCAAAAAGTCAGCGTCATAAAAAATAAAACAAATATGTAAAGGCAGGGGGACTGTATCAGATTAAGAGACAAGAGTTGTAGGAGCCAAAAGTGCTGTGTGAATCAAAACACACACATGCTCTTAACAGCCAACTGAGAAAGTCTGAGTGTCATTGTGTTTCTGTTTAATTTCTCAGATGTGGTAACAGAACTGGAGTTGCGGATGTGAATACCCTC